TTTATATTGTCTTTCCAATAGGTTGGCATTGTCTTGACATTTTTATATTGTCTTTCTATTAGGTTGGCATTGTCTTGACATTTTTATATTGTCTTTCTATTAGGTTGGCATTGTTTTGACATTTTGTTATTGTCGTTCCGTTAGGTTGGCATTGTCTTGACATTTTTATATTGTCTTTCCATTAGGTTGGCATTCTCTTGACATTTTTATATTGTCTTTACATCAGGTTGGCATTGTCTTGACATTTTTATATTGTCGTTTCATTAGGTTTGCATTGTCTTGACATTTTTATAGTGTCTTTGCATTAGGTTGGCATTGTTTTGACATTTTTATAGTGTCTTTGCATTAGGTTGGCATTGTCTTGACATTTTTATAGTGTCTTTGCATTAGGTTGGCATTGTCTTGACATTTGTATAGTGTCTTTGCATTAGGTTGGCATGTTTCAATTTGAAATGTTTGACACAGTAATAATAACTTCAAATATTTATATACTACAATAACATGCTCCAATGTTATGTGTGTTTATTATAAATGTATCCGTTATCACGTTGTAATAATATTTGTTATTTCAGCACAAAATATGGGATAATATAAAAGGAAGAATACCTAATGCTTTCAATTCAACTGATGTAATAAACAATTTAGCAAACTTGTATGTACCGGAAATGAAGAAACCCCTTAAAGATGACAACTACATCCTTTCTCTCATTGAGCAGGAAATTTGTTACAGTAAGTCTGCTATTGTTATGGTAAAAACAAATTGTGTTTTAGTTTTGTTGCTGTGAGTCCACCAAGTATGTTAATTACGGTAGCAACCATTCTGACACACATGTATAAGTCTTTAAAGGACGGTAGTCGTCGCGCTACGCATGCGTGAGATATATGGGTCTCATATAAACAAAGATGGCGACTTTGGCTATAGCGCAGATTAATGAGTACAAACTGAGACGTTAACAAGCTTCAATTAGGTAATTTTGGGTGATTGGAAGGTATCGTGGGTATAGTGCAAGTCACACCCAGGTCAAACCTCATACTTGTGATTTCCATTAGAAGAGCGCATTGGATTGTGGGAAAATCAATATTTATCAACACAAATGTCGTACTTGCGAAACGCGACGACAAATGCCATTTAAGTCATTTATCTGTCAGTTTATTATGCGCTTGTGCATGCTTGAATATAGCAGAAGTCGTTCGGACATGTTTTGTAACACTGGTTAGCAAAAATAGATCATTTCAGCTCACCGCGAGATCCCGCGATATGCGTGAAATGGAACTTAATCAGAACAAACAAAGGTCATATCTACACAGTGACGTCAAAACATCATGGGGGATTCGACAATCGCGAAAGTATTATACTATACACATTTGATGATGGGTAATTTTGAAGTAAGAGTATCTCAACCCAATATTTCCCCTCTTCAAATGCAAAATAAAATCGTGACACTGGCAGACGGAACGCACAACTTGAAGAATCGCAATATCTCGTAGTGAACGGAACTTCACCTAATATCATCTCATCTCCAGAACATCTATCTATTTTACATAATTTTGAAGCAAATTTTCACAACTACAGGATCTGATCAATATTTGTGGAAAATATGAAAAAAAAAATAGTTCTACTTTGTGAAAAGTGACCAGAAATTTGACGTTCAAAGGGTTTTAATACATTGTCACACGTACACCATTTGTATCTATTCCGCAGGGTCGTCATTGTTTGTTGGAACAGCCATTTCATCTTGGACATACATGGTGGAACAAGACAGATTGGGAAAAGGAACTGTCCTTATGCCAGACATTTTTGGTGATCCAGTAAGTTATGGAAAATGTAGATAACGATATCAGTGGTTGATGACGTCACATTTCGTGCGCGTGCGTGATTAAAGCAATTCTAACTACAGAGGTGAATGTGATAGACGTTTTCATGTGACGATGCATTTGACCAACTATGCTACGCCATAAACGAACTACATTATCACATGCTGCGAGTTTCGATTGACCGGAAAACAAAGGAATGTTGATCTTCGGTCTTGGAAAATCATGATTGAATTTTCAGGTATTATATATCCTCGTTTCAGAAGCAAACCTCAGACAAAGCCTCGTTTAGAGAATTTGCGAATAACAGTCACACCAACAGTAAATTTATCCTTTCTCAAATTATGCCACATCAAATTTATGAACGATTTGACATAATTTTAACTTTGATTTCTTCTTTTCACGTTTTCCACAATTTGTATATAAATGTTACATATAATGTTATATATAAGTTATGGCTAATCACGCCCCCAAACGTTATCGTTGGGCGAACCTTTTGTTTGCGAGATTATTGAATTCTTGTACTGTAGTTCCATGATTGGTGTATTGTAGTCATGTGGTCTGTGCCATAGACAGTTATAATGTACATATAGTGAGCATGGCAGATCCTTGATCGGAAAGTATTATGTCCATGATTGAACTTATTATTCATTATTTGTTTTTCCTTTACGAATGTACTCACATACTCTCACTTACAATGCACTTCTTTGAGATGAGGGGAAGAGAGTTATTTGACTCCTTTACTCCCAAACTTAGTGACGTAAAATGACTCGAATTAAATATAAAATCAACAGTGATTCTGTTAGGCCATAGGATTACAGCGAGAGAAATAAAATGATATTGTGTAATGTTAGCCTCTTGAATGAATATTTTACAAAAATAAAATAAAATTATTTGTAAATACTGATGGAGTAATTATGATTTTTTTCTCTCTGTGTGTTATGTGTACCCATGTCACGTGATTGCTTTTTATTTGAGTGTGTCATTGAATCCGCCAATCTTTTAGCAGTAGCAAGTTGTCTATATCTACCAACCATACTACGGCATATCCACCCACAATACCACGACTTGGCATATGTGCTTACTATAACACGAATTCACATATCTACCCATTATAGCACGACTTGACATATCTATCCACTATAGCACGACTTCTCATATCTACCCACTATAGCACGACTTGACATATCTACCCACTATACCATGACTTGACATATCTACCCACTATACCACGACTTGACATATCTATCCACTATAGCACGACTTCACATATCTACCCACTATACCTCGACTTGACATATCTACCCACTATACCTCGACTTGACATATCTACCCACTA